CCTAACGGTCCTTACATCGTCATCCACGTTGGTCAGATCCATCTCCTCTAACTCCCTAATGTCCGCTTCTCTCCGCTGCATCCTAGACCTACGTTTGATCACTCGCTCTTACTCTGCTTGTATCTTATCTAATGCCTGCTGCAGCTGTACCTCGCGAGCTCTTGCTCCCGGGATGGAGACCTCCTCGCGAGTTAAGATTGTTTGCTGGCATGCCATAACACCGCGGACCGACTTTGGGTCAGTGCGACCATCGTCCCGACAATCCCCGAACTACTGGCCTGGGAGCTCTGCTGCACAGAGGTGGCCATGGTGGCTGCTGAGGTAGCTACCTCACTTGCGAAGGCTCTGCTTGCCTCTGCCTCCCTTGCCCTCCTTTGCTGCTGCCTCTCCCGAGCCTGGCGGGACAGAAGACGGTCACCCTCGGGTCCTAACGCTCTGTGGACCAACGGGCGTCTACAGCTTGACGAAGCAGGATCCAATCGTCCGGGTCAGGGTCCTCCCTGTCGCTCATATGCTACAGAATTGTACACTGTCTGCACATCATAGTGCTCAAACTGATTTAAAATAATAAAAATAATTAATCAGCGGCATTGTCAGAGGATACACAATTGGGTTCAATAGGTAAGTCCAGATTCCTACAAATGCAGCTATTTTATTTGACTAGTTCGCAAACAGAAAGCAGATAAGGAGAAACAGTAAGTTTCTACCTATGTTGTCCGTCAGATGTGTTAATGGCTGTAACATCTAACTAATCAAAATAAAAATAGAATCATTTGCATGGCAGTTTGCAGAGTGGAATTGCTCCCGAACTTATAACCTGAAATCTACCCCTCCCTCAATTCTTCTTGATGTCACTTGACGTCGACGTTCCTGAGCAATCCAGAAAGCATGCGTGTCTAAAGGTGTGCACACGACCCACCCCTTCATCAGTGGCATTGTCAGAGGATACACAATTGGGTTCAACAGGTAAGTCCACATTCCTACAAATGAAGCTATTTTATTTGACTAGTTCGCAAGTCCACATTCCTACAAATGAAGCTATTTTATTTGACTAGTTCGCAAACAGAAAGCAGACAAGGCGAAACAGTAAGTTCTACCTATGTTGTCTGTCAGATGTGTTAATGGCTGTAACATCTAACTAATCAAAATAAAAATAGAATCATTTGCATGGCAGTTTGCAGAGTGGAATTGCTCCCGAACCACCTGAAATTTACCCCTCCCTCAATTCTTCTTGATGTCACTTGACGTCAGCGTTGCTGAGCAATCCAGAATGCATGAGTGTCTAAAGGTGTGCACACGACCCACCCCTGTGCCCCGTCAATGCTGAGCTGGCCAGCCCTGCACAATGTTTACCCTCGCGTGCAGCAAGTCTTACACCGACTGATTGGCTGATCAAGAGGCAGTTTAAGGACGGCCACCGAGGTCCTCAGGCATTATTTAACGTCGCAAACAGGACAACGATCACACCTAATGGAAGGTCACCCGCCGGTATTTATTATGGACGTCCTGTTCTCGTCTCCCCTGTAGGGATGGCCTGTCCCTCATGACCTATCTATAGCACAGCTCGCAGACAAAGGACAAAGCAGCAAAGCATGCGTGCTCTACCCCCGGTGGGTTGGCATGGTGACCGTGACCCAGTGCTTCGTCCAGGGCCCCTTCAGAAGGCAACGCCCTCTCCTTCCAGATGCTCCACGTGAACAATGTTGACTCTCAAGGTTGAGCACACTCGACTCCTCGCATCAGAGGACTCTCAAGACAGAACACACATCCTCACGGTAAGAAGTGTCGAAGAGGGTAGATAAGGTTAAGAGCAACGTACCTCACAATAGCTGCCCCCAACAACAGATATTCTCACTAGATGACCTGACGTCGATTGTGATGACCAATCGTTCCCTTGGCACAACCAGTATTATACCGCCGTTCCACTTCAGCATCAATCGTACATAAGATAGTTCTCATCACATTGTGAGACACCCTAATATCACCACTCAGCCTTCCTGGCGATACGCCTGTCCACCTGGGTCGCCTGCTTGCCTTCGCCCTCCTCACTGCACACTACCCACGGTCGCTCACCCAGCTACCCGCGTGCATGCACCGTATAAGCAGAAGACAAGCGCCAGATTAGCACAACGTACCACACCTCCGATACCAAAATGCAAGGAAAATGAGCGATAGCGAATTCCAGAAAACCAAGCAGCATCGTACACATGAAACCAGATAGTCTTGACCTCGAACCAAAAGCAGAATTGCAACTCGAGTTCCACCAAATAAGAGCACAGCAAAAGCTAACATGTGGCAATGCTGGAATAGTCTCAGCATCATCAACAATGAACCAAGGTCGAACACCTATCTGGAGCTCAGCACCCAGACTACGAAGGGCAAATCCTATCTACCCTATCTACGATGCTGCTGGTGACGTCAACAGCTTCCCCAAGTACGAGCAGGTTTTGGCCAATGCCGCTCGCATCAAGCACCAGGTATGTCCCTCGACAATCTCGATTCTCCACACAGATGCCACATGCACCCAAGGACCACCATGCGCCCCATCCAGAAATGTGCAGGGCAGCTCGGCTTTGGCTGCCTGCTTCTTCCCTGCTCGCCCGTGAGGGCGTAGGCACTCGCTCCAGCAGCTGGCGCAGTAGTGCTTGCGCATAAGCAGCGAGTGCCCGAATGTCCAGCCAGAAGCCAGGCCCTTTCCTTTATGGAATGAGGCTGCCAGTCGTGGGCTGCCTGGCTGGCCTGGGCCTCCCCACGGAAGCTTTCAGTAGGCCCCAAGTGGCTGAGCCCCTCTCCCCCCAGGGAATCTTCAACAGGGCCTGGGGTGGTTACCTGTGTCCAACTGCTAGCGGCCTGTGTTGAGTTCATGCCCGGTGTCTGGCCCAGGGCCTGCCCCGGATACGTTTGAAAAAGGCAGGCAGGGCCTGGGCTCACTCAACCAACTGAAGCTGCGCAACTGCCTGAATTTCCCAGCTGCGTCAAAACCCAAAATAAGCCTCTCATCACTTGTCAGGCCTGCCTTCACTTAGGGTGGCCGTTCTTGCTGAAACAGGGCCCAGTAGGGCTTACCGAGGCCTTAAGCCTTGCACACTGCACAGTGTTTGAAAGTGGATCCATTCTGGTCGTGATATCCACCTCACCCCTGCATGGCTTCACGGCTGTAGTATCCTTGAACTCTCTCTCTCTCTTTTTCTCTCTCTCTCTCTCACACACACACACACACACACACACTCAGGCATCCAACACAGCGATTCTGGCTCACTCTGCTCCCATCCAGCACAGCTGTGTTTACAACGAATTTTCACGCATAGGCCACCACAAACCTGGTCTGATTTCCAGGCTGGTTACCAGAGTGGTGCAGAAGTAGTGCACTGGAAAGAAGGCATCTCCAAGCTAACAGCTGATGGTCGAATAACCAGGATCTGGATGATGTAGAGAAAGGTTGAAGGCTATGTTTCCTTCACCTGTGTTCCGCCCGCTGGCCATCATCAAACGATTTGGAAGAACAAATGGCGTGGATAAGCTCGCAACCCTCTAGCCAGAATGTGAACAGCCCAACCACTGAGCTGAGCAAGGTAAAGAAACAGTCATCTAGGAAGACTACGTGCAAATAAACTATCATCTTGGGAGAGTCCACACGCATACGCATTTAACACCTCTGATTTTTTTTTTCTTTTTTGACTTGGCTGAAATCTAGGCCGGCTCGAGCCAAGCCAAGGCACAGGCAAGGTACACGAGGTATTCCAAACAAAGTTTGGCTGAGGGTCACCTCCAAATTCCTTTTTTTTTTTCCGGAAAGCCCTCCTACAAGGCCACTATCCTTGTGGTGGTAACAGAACCACCGGAATTGAGGCTTTGCCTGTCGGGCTGCTCCATCTATTAGCCGGGTAGCAACACCTGCTGGAAACCGGGTCCAGCGTCCCTTGGATACATCATATCAGTTTAGTGTTTGTCAGGATGAGATCATTTCAGTTCCAAACCTTGAGCCCCATCTTTCCGTTGGGGCTGCATAAGTCACCCTTCCAACTTCTGGAGCTCCTATGTCGCCGGGTCAGTTCCAAACCTTGAGCACCATCTTTCCGTTGGGGCTGCATAAGTCACCCTTCCAACTTCTGGAGCTCCTATGTCGCCGGGTCACCTCCAAATTCACTCCATTTCAAGATTTCAAAAAAAAGAGGAAAAGAAGAGGGAATACACCCCGTTAAACCCCGTTACACATAATTTAAATCCCCCAAACCCTCTGGGTGGGTAACCCATACAATTTTGACGGCACAGGAGGCAGTCATTCTCTCACTTTCCGACTCCACGCTAACCCTTACAGTTCATCCAGATCTCATCCATCTATCCAGAGATGACCCCCCACCTCAACATTGCAGGCACAACTTGAAATCCCTGATTGCAACACAACCAAGCTGATCATTTGTCTCATTTGGGACATGTCTCGACCATCCATTTCTCAGGCCAATACCAACAAGCTCTCCAGGACATGCAACCGTCTTCAGCCGAATAGAACACCTGGTCACTCTAACCGTACTTTTGTCAACTTTCAGTCCAGATGGCGCCATCATGATCGGGTGTTCTTCTTGGGTGAAGACAGTAGCCGCAACAACCATTTTCACACACAAGTTGGCTGGGAAACGCATGTCAGGCTGTTCGCTGAGGGGTAGGAGAGCTGCCTGGCTGTGCGTGTGTGTGTTGTCTTGTTCGCTATGCACAACTCCACGGAAGAAGGATGACTGTGCCAGACTGTTTCGTCGGAGTTTCACGAACTTGTCGGGGAGGTTGATCATCAAAAGTCTGCCAAGCATACATTTGACTGATGGATGAGGACTCACCAAGCCACCCAGAGTTAGTGATACCCCTGAGAAAGCGGTCAACTTTACTTACAACAACGGTCAGCAACGTGTGTGCCTGAAGAGAGAGAGAGAGAGGGCGGGGGGGGTGGCATGCTGGGCTTTAGCATTTTCTTTGAGACAAAGCTATGACAGGCTGCAGTAACATACCTGATAATGGTTGTATGCAGTATCCAGACACTGCTCCATTTCTCTTCGCGAATGGTCAAGAAAATAAAGGCAGAGGCCTATCATTTCCTGCAAAGAACCACCAAGAAATCAACCTACCTCCAAAACAATTGACAGCATCAACAGTCCTCCAAAATGTTGACGTCATCAACTTTCAGCTGAGAAACAAACATCGCTGTTTCATTTCTCTCTCCCCTCGTGAGAATGTTGGAGGGATAATCCAATGCTATGTCAGAGCAAAGAAATAACCATCCACTTGGGATTAAAAAAATAAGAAGGAAAAAATTCCGAAAAATCATAGAATCATAAAAAGTGTACACCAAAACAAAAAACGATATTGGACTTTTCATTACGGTCCATTTACGAGCACAAAAGTTTCCAACATGTACGAGTCATGCCCTACATTTCTAGAACACCACTAACTGCCCAACCTCGTCCATGACAAACCCACTAGCACCATAGGCCCTTGCTCCGCTACTCACCAAATGTGTAAAATGGGAATGGATCGACCGCTAGAACATGGTAAGATGCACTGCCATATTTTTTGTCTTTTGTGCATTTGGGAAGCAGTGAAGCGAGGCCCATAGGTATTCCATTATTTTCCACTACATGGTACATCCACAAACTTTGCGCTACGGAACAAAACACAGATTTATAATCAAGGTCCGACTTTGCCACGTATGCCGTGTGGATGCTTGGTCGTGGGTTCAATCCACATTGCCCCCAGGTCGATGCCTGCGGCATACTTGGTGTATTACCGTCCAGGTTACTACCAGTCGTTGGTACACAGTGGGACAAGAAGGTGGTAGCTCAGTTGGTAAAGCTCTGGTGTTGCAGGTTCTATTCTTTCTTCAGGCACGCAGTCTCCCTACAGTAGCGCTCTATGTAACTTTGAAAACAAAATTCACACTTCCATTGCCACATGGGGCACACGAGTGTTTTGTTTGCCGTCACATTCGGTATACACAACTTCACAGAGAAAGCATCGCTGCACAAGACTGTTCAATCAGGAGGTTGGATCCCGGCCCAGGATGCATTTGACTCGGGGAGAAGGACTCACCACATCGCCCAGAGTTAGCGACACCCCTGAGAAAAGTGGTTGACTTTACTCACACCAACCCTGCAATCCTAGCAGACAGCCGGTTCGAACCACTGACAAGAATGGCAGTAATTTTGACAAATCCACCTGTCACAGCCATAAACCCCGCTCTGTTTGGTCTGTGGTTGATGTTCACCACAACAGCCACCTTTCCACCCAGTTGAGTAGATCCAAAATTGATGCAGCTTTACATCTATTGCAAACGATGAAGCACACTTGAGATGAGTTATTCCAACAATGAAACAGTTTTACGGTTTTACCTCTTTAGCAACCAACATGTGTGTGTGTGTGTTGTCACCTTCACTGTACACAACTCCACAAAAGAAACCACGACTGTACCAGACTGTTTCGTTGGACTTTCACCGACTCATCAGGAGGTTGAACCCCGACTGTCTGTTGTAAATTCAGAGAACAAAATTATTCATCAAGCAGATCCCAAGTCATGCTTTATTTCCTTTCCGAGTGTTCTTTTCCTAAAGACAGTAGAGCTACTAGAGAATGATTTTCAAGAATTTTTTTTATTTATTCTTCGTTTATCCTATTAAATACAAGGTAATATTTCTTTGTATTTTTGTGACATCTATCGCTGATAAAAGTGGTAAAACTGCTATCAGTTGCATCAAATAAAACAAGTTACCTCCCTGTCAGGCAATTGCTTGGAATAGCCTCATGAGATCGAGGGAACACAGACACTGACTCCTTCCTTGCTAGCTTTTCCTTTCGTTTTTCTGTATTTTTCCATCCGCGTATGAACAATTATGAACTAATCATTATTATTATTTCTTTGTCCTGAACAATATGTCCCAACTACACTGCCAATCAACCCAAGGTAAAGTTCTCCCTAGCACCACATTCTGACTCTAAACTGCACGTCGATCCGTTTGGCTTCAATCATCATCCACAGAAAGACCTTTGCCACTGACCACCCACAAACAACATGTGTACATGGACAGCAGACGCGGTTCACTCCTCTCGGGTAAAACTTTTGCAGCTCACCACCCACGAACTCACCAACAACACGTGAATCGTCATCATCAAACAGTCCGTTGCTGCTGACCATCCACAAACAATACGTGTGTGCAGTCAGCATCAATCCTCTTGGCTTACACATTCTCTGCTGAACATCCATGTGTCCGTTCTTAGCAACAACACCTAAATCATCACCGTCAGACAGACTGTTGCTGCTGATCATCCGCAGACAATATGTGTGTGCAGTGAACATCAATCCTCTTGGCTTAAACATTCACTGCTGAATATCCACAGACATCACTTCTCCACCGTCCCCAGCAACACGTCAATCCCCTTGACTGAAACCTTTACTACTGACCACCCACAAACACCAAGTGCAAGCGGTCAGCAATAAGGCATCAATCCTCTTGGCCACCGGACCTCTCCCCCTCATAATAACTGCCTGTCACTTTGGGAATTGCCTACTGCAGTGCGTACTCCATCCACCCCCAACCCCCCTCCGTCTGCATATAACTGCACACACTTATTACCCTTGGCTTAAATTTTTGCTGCTGACCATCCACAAACAACACGTGTCCGCTGTCAGCAGCAATGCATCAATACTCGTGGCTTAAACCACCACCAGCTCCTAGCCTCTTTTTTTGCCGAGGCGGAAAAGAACTGTGGGCCACCATTTGCCAAAGCGCCAGTGAGGCATTTTTGGTTTCCCTTTTGACTGGCCAGCCATTCGGGTCCAGTAGCACTGTTCATCTAAAGAACCCAGGCTGTTAGTCCAAACAAAAAACAGAGTCAATTCGCATTCTGTACTATGATATCAATCAACACTGATCATGTACAGTTACAATGGCGGGCACACAAAGTGCAGAACGACATGTTGGACACGAAAGCATGACGCAAAGAAGTGGGCGTCCGGTCTCCTTCTTGTATTTATTATGGAGTAAATCAACCAAGAGTAGCATCGCCAACTTTTGCCGCCTTTTAGTGCTGCGCAAATGGCATGGCAAGAGCCGTAGTAATCTGCCTGTTCAAAAAGTAGCAAAAAAAAATGTATACTTATTTAGACAAACAAAAAAGTTTGTTATTATTAATCAATGGAGAAAAGATTGGACATTCCTCTTGTACGTATGGTCAGTGGTCAGAAGCACGGCATCAATCCTCTTAGATCCTACCATTATGCACAAGCAAACCATTGCTGCCAACCCACAAACATTGCGTCAAAGCTCATCAGCAACGAGTACCACAAACCATACTTGCAAGCAGAGGCCATCCGCGCCGTTCCGCACATGCGGCGGACCGGCGGACCGGACCCGCGCGGCGCACGAATGTGCACCCGACGACCAGTTACCCCCCAACCCCCCAACCCCCCCCCCAAAAAAAAAAAACGACCCCGTCCCGTCCGGTCCGGTCCGGTCCGGTCTGGGTCCGTCCGGTCCGGGGGGAGGGCGACGCACGTGGCAAAGCGGACGACCGGACGAGCCGCTTGCAAGTATGCCACAAACCCTCCGCCCGCTGCCCCCCCCACTCTCTCTTCCACAAGCAATGAGAGCACGTGGTCAGCAGCAAGGATCATCAGCAACCATACTTGCGGCGCATCGATGCGCTGCGCGATGCGGTGCGGTGCGCAGCGCGCCGTGCGCCCGTCGGGGATGAGCGCATTGATGCACGATGCGCGCGCATCGATGCGCAGTGCGGGATGCGGGATGTGCTGCACAGCACTTGGATGCGCAGTGCACCAGTGTGCCGGAGCGTGCGCGTGCCGCGCGCATTTGCGCGCATGGTGCACTCGGGTATATAGGGAAGGGGAGCACAACGACGGAGGGAGGAGGAGATGGGTGACGAGGGAGGGAATGGAGGAGCGAGGAGGAGATCAATAGCGACGGAGGGGGGGGAAGGGAGAAGGGCAGAGGGAGGACGACACCGTTGATGGAGGGAAGGGGAGGAGAACGACGAAGGGAGGAGGAGATCGATAGTGAGGGAGGAGGGGGAAGGGACAAGTGTGGAGGGAGGGCGACGCCGATGATGAAGGAGGGAAGGGGAGCAGTGGTGCACTAAAAATTTCATATATGGAAAAAAAAAAAAAAAAGGACAACATGATGAAGGAGGGAGGGGGACGATAGGGATGGAGGGAGGAGGAGATCGATGACAAGAGAGGCAATGGAGGAGGGAGGAGGAGATCGATAACGAGGGAGGAGGGGGAAGGGAGAAGGGCGGAGGGAGGACGACGCCGATGATGCATGAGGGAGGGGGAGGACAACGACGGAGGGAGGAGATCGATGACGAGGGAGGGAATGGAGGATGGAGGAGTTCAATAGTGAGGGAGGAGCGGGAAGGGAGAAGGGCGGAGGGAGGACGACACCAATGATGGAGGGAAGGGGAGGACAATGACGGAGGGAGGAGGAGATCGATGACGAGGGAGGAATGGAGGATGGAGGAGGAGTTCAATAGCGAGGAAGGAGCGGGAAGGGAGAAGGGCGGAGGGAGTACGACGCCAGTGATGGAGGGAAGGGAGGACAACGACGGAGGGAGGAGGAGATCGATGATGAGGGAGGGAATGGAGGAGGGAGAAGTAGATCGATAGCGAGGGAGGAGGGGGAAGGGAGAAGGGCGGAGGGAGGACGACACCGATGATGGAGGGAAGGGGAGGACAACGGCGGATGGACAAGGAGATCGATGACAAGGGAGGAGGGAGGAAGAGAACTTGACGAAGAAGGGAGGAGGGGGGAGGTGGAGAAGACCGATGGCAAGGGAGAAACGGGGAGGAGGAGGAGCTGCACAGTTTCCACACACACACAGAGAGAGAGAGAGAGAGGGAGAGAGAGAGAGGGGCTGGTGGTAACCCACCTGGATATGGAAGCCGCTTCCTTCGCTTCCTACCAGTGCTGCAACCCTTGGCTCCTTCATGCTGCTGTTCGCAGCTGCACAGGATGTGGCTGAACGATGAAGTGGGGAGCTGCTTCCTGTTGCAGTGAACACGAGAAGAGGAGTACGAGACGACGACGACGGCGACGGCGACGACAAGACACAGCGACCGTGAAGGACTGCGTGGCGTCGGGGCACCAAGGTCGACTGCCAGGCTGGGGGCCGACGTGGGGCAGATTCGAGCAGTACAAAAAATGAACTGCTTGGATCTCCCCACTCTTTTTTTTTTTTGCGGGGGCATTCGCGGCCTCCAAAAAAAATTCTTTTTTTTCTGTAGCCGGCGGCGCGAAGTCCCTACCGGGCATACAACCCCCCCCCCCCCAACTTTGGTTTTTTTTTTTGGACCCCTCGATTTGCCTGTGCACCGCAAGGCATGCGCGCACATCATGCGCGCTGCGCGGTGCGGCGCATGTGCGCGCTGCAGCGCATGCCGATGCGCCGCATGTATGTCAGCAACATATGTACCACCAACTTCCCTCCACCACCCCCCACCCCCCTTAATAACTGCCTATCACGCATGCACCCTGAGTGCCTCTTGCATGCCTGGGTGCCTCTTGCATGCAACCCCTACCCCTTCCCCTCCTTACAACTGCATGCAGGTTATTCCATCGCGAAAGTACGACGTTTCTTTCTTTTTTTTTCAGATGGCGATTTTTTTTTTTGCGGGATAGCAATTTCGAACTTTCTTTTGTAGCCTTTGGTTGGCAGTAGCATTTTTGAATGAGTTTTCCTTTTGTTACCGTTGGCGGACAGAAATCAATCAGAGTGGGAAAAGAGCAGGTACCCACCTGTGTTCCGGCATAATGCTTCCAAGCCTTGTCAGTTTTGTAATCTCCTGCCAGCAACCGGTAATTGGAGAGAGCGAGATCGTAGTCCCGAAGCATAAAGGCCAAATCAGCAAGCAACCTTATCTGGGACTCCACAGAGTTATGTGTGTATCTTCACAATCACAAACCAACCACAAAATTAATCAATGCCAGTAAATAAAAACTTTTATTCGCTGATTTCACTCATTCATCCCTCTCGTGAATTGAACATACAGTCGCCCAGAGTGAAATATTCCGTTACAAGAAGCACAGGATCCTTTTAGGAAGTTTTAGGGCATACTTACACTAGCACTTTCCGAGCTGTATCTGACTGTAATTATATTCAGACGCCGATAAAAATGACTGCAACTGCGGCCAGATTTTAGGACAAAAAGTCCTACTGTATGTCCTTAGAGTTTAGCGTTTTGAGGCAACAGTGAAACCGCGTTCTAGACTCTGAGTGCTTTGAGGCAAAACTGTACTATGTACAGTGGCCGGCTATGTATGCAACACAAAACATGTCTTCTTTGAAGTTCTTTGAACTTCTTTCATTATTTTCATTTTTACGCAGCTTTTTCAATGTGCGAGGCATAGGGCCTCAACATGCCCTACAGGGCCTATTTTTCACACTGTCGGCCGCCCTAAGTGAAGGCAGGCACGATTGAGGCCCTACAGGCCATATTTGGGGTCACCACGCAACAGAGGAAATTCAGGCAGTTGCACAGCGCCAGTTGGTTGGAAGCGCCCAGGCCCAGGCTGCCTTCCATTGCATGTAATGAGGCAGGCCCTGGGCCGGATACACAAAGTGGACCGCACAAAGGCTGAGGCCAGTTGGGTGCTGGTAACCGACACAGGCCCTGGGCCTGTTACTTCGGACTGAGGCTCAACCTCGTGGGGCCTACCAGAAACTTCTGGTACAGGGCCCAGTACCTCACGAATGCACGCAGCAGCAGGCCACTTCGATATAGGGAAGGGCCTGCCTCCGCATTGGACATTCGGGCACTGGCTGCTTTGTGTGCAAGCGCTACTGCGCTATCGCCTGCCAGGCTCACTCGCTCATGGGCCAGCTGGAAGGAGCAGGCAGCCATAGCCGAGCTGGATGGGCCGCATGGTGGTCCTTGGGTGAAGTGGCATCTGTGAGTTGGGGAACGAGGTTGTGAGTGATACGAGAGACATACCTGGTGCTTGAAGCGTGTGGCATCAGCCGAGATCTGCTCGTACTTCGGGGAGCTGTTGACGTCATCAGCGGCATTGAAGAGTAGGCTAGATAGGATCTGCCATCTGTAGTCTGGGCGCCGAGCGCCAGATAGGATATCAACATTGGTTCTTCATTGATGATGATGATGCGACTATTCCAGCATTGTCAATTATGAGCTTTTGGTGTGCTCTTATTTGGTGAAACTCATGATGCAATTCTGCTTTTGGTTTGAGGTCACGACTATCTGGTCTCATGTGTATGATGCTGTTTGATTGCTGAAGTTCGCTATTGCTCATCTACCTTGCAAATGTCTTTTAACTTATTCTCCCCTTCCACAAGATTTCTCCGACTCACACTCCGATTTCCTTGAACCACCACTACCTTTCACAGGCAAACTCAAAACCTCCTTAAGAATGCCGTATAACCTATACCGCATTCTCCGGAGGCCAGGCACCACCGGACCAAAATGGCTGGTAGTGCTGGTGAGGGAAACAAAAGAAAGGTCGCATTGGCGCTTCGCCAACGCTTGGCACGTGGTTGTTCTCTTCAGAAAATGAACACAAGTAAACCGAAGAAAAAAATTGAAAACGATGTGGGCTTCATCGATATCCAATCCAAACAGCTCGGGATGAGGACCAAGAACGAGATTTCATCGACTTCTTTTCAAAAAAGGGTGACAGCCTTGAAAATTGAAATTTGACTCAGAGTTCTTTTCCTAATCTGATCCCCACAGGATTCTGTTTATCCATACTTGAGGGGTGTACCATTCAGCCATATGGGGTAATTTTTCACTAATTTACTAATTGGCTTCCTTTCTGAGTGAGGACGCCGTCCGGCCGGGCTGGGCCCAGCCGGTTGGGCCCAGCGGGGGCGCCCAGGTAAACCGGGCAGGACAAAAACTGGTCAGAATTGTTTTTTTTTTTTTTTTTTGAAACTGGGGTC